CTTTTCTGTTCCCCACTCTGTCTCTGGTGAATCCTCTCACCCCCCGCAACTCTGGCCTGTACCCCAGTTCTTGTATGCATAAATAAATAAATTAAAAAAAAAAGAAAAAAATAAAGTGATGGGGGGAGCGCAGTGGACTATGGTGTGGACTGCAGGTGCTTTAGTGGTGTGAGCACTAGGGTAACAGCACCAGAAGGAAGGGGGGGATCCTATCCTTCCAAGACACAACTATGTAAATCAATGTTACCTCAAAAAAAAATATGAAGTGCTGACTGCAAAAGCTGGTTGCCAGTACTTTTCACTCCTCCCATCGAGAGGGGGGCTTCATGCCCCTTTCCTCTAATCTGAGTGGCTGGACTGCACAGCGAAGGTGATGCCGTGTGACCTAGGAGGCCCAGTTCTCAGAGGCCTTGTGTCTTTCACCTTGCTCCCTGGAACACTTCCTCTTGGGGCCCAGCGGTAGTGGGGTGGCCCGGAAACTGCCATGCTGGAGAGAGACCACGTATGTTGATGCTGCGGTGGCTGGAGGCTCCTGCGCTCAGCCTTCCAGTCATCCCCAAGACGCCAGACGTGTGAGTGGTGCTGCCTTGGACTCTTCACACCAGCCCATCTGCCAGCTGAACACCACCGGCGACCTCTGTCAATGTGACATGGAGGCAAGAGTCACGCAGCTCAGCCCTCATGCATTTCCAATCCTCAAAGTTGTGAGCTGATGAAATGTTTGTGGTTTAGTCACTAAATTTCAGGTAATTAGGCAGCAACAGAAAACTGGAACATTTTTCCTCAGTGCCAGCCCCCCCCCCCTCCTTCACTTCACAGTCGAGTTTCTCGGAAGCATTGTTCCCACTCACTCCAGAATGCTTTAGCTCAGCTTAAAAGTCACTTCCTCAGGGAGGCCATCTCACATCCTCAGTCCAGATTTAGGCTCCTTGGTTATTTGCTCTGCGATGGCTCCACACTCTTCCTCTCAAAGAGTTTATCACAATCTCTATTTGTATATGTGTGATTTGTTGATCAGTGTCTCTCACCACATTCAAGAGGGTGCAGCGTGTGTCTGTCTTGCTCATTCCCGCAGCCCCTTGCCTGGCATGTAGCAGGAGCTCAACAAACAGTTGACCTCATGAATCAATGAGTGAATGAGTGAATCTGTAAGCTAGGCGAGCGGAGCCCTCCCTCCCCCCAGTAAAAAGTCCTTTGCAGGCCCTGGGATGGATGGCACACATCTGGCTGGGGCACATGTGTTCTGCACATCAAGCATTTCTTGAGCAGTTACTTCAGATGAATTCTTGGAATGCAAAAATGAAAGGGAGGATGCCTGCTTAAAAGATGGCTGGGGGATACAGACCAACAGGCACAGAGATCAGGGGTGGAGAGGGATTTGAGAATTCTCAAAGGGACAGTGGAGAGGGAGAAGAGCAGAGCAGAGCAGAGCAGAGGAGAAGACAGGACTGAAAAGGGAGGCCAGGGAAGAGAAATAAAGCAACTGGAACATTCCTCAGCATCCACAAGAGGCTTCTTAGGTGCTGTCTTCTGAGGCATATCAGTCCACCAGCTTTTGAACCCACTGCCACCCTGTGCTCCCATGAAATGGACTGGGCTCTCCCTCAAAGCACATTCCACCAGCCTGGGGATGAGTCTGTAGCTGAAGGATAAAATTGCTAGGAGGATTGGGGTAGTAGTTCCACTACTCAAATTAGTCCATTTTCAGGTGGAAATGAAATCTTTATTCTCGCTGAAACAACCTGTCTCTTCACTGAAGCAGCTCATTCCCAACCACTTAAAAGCAAACAGCGCATCTAATGGCAGAAGATAACACACCTAATGGAGAGGTAGCACATTGGGCCCTAAAACCCTGCTTGATTTGCTTGGGGCAGAGGAAGAGCAGGCGGGCTGGTGGTGGTGGCAGCTCTGGGGAGGAGGGAAGGGAGAATAAGGAATGGGGGCAGGTAAGAGAGAAGACCTGGATACAGGGAGCAGGATGAGCTAAGTCTCCACCATCCCCTGACTCACAGCAGAGGAACAGCTCCAGGTGGTGTGCCCACTGAGCCCCTGTGAAGGGAGGGGGGTTGGAAAGTGCCAAAGGTTTAGGGAACTGGAATGTTTATTTTTCCCAACAAGAAGCCTGTTCCTTCAGCTTCATTCTCCCCAGAGCGGTGTACTTTGGGGCTGGAAGTCCCTGTAGGATATACAGATGAACTGGCCTTTGAACTTGAAGATAATTAATAATGTGCAGATGTCTCCAGATATTCTCTGCCTGTCATTTCGTGTGTCCCATCCAGGGGAAGGGAGCTGCATGTGTATATTTCTGTGTTTGAATTCTCTCTCTTTCACACACACACTCAGGCATGCATGCGTGCACATTCATCTCTTCTTTCTCAGATTCCTTTGCCCCCAGTCAGATCACCCAATCATGTGCCAATCATGTAAGACCCCTTTGCGGTCTTACAGGGGGAGTCAGAGTAGGAGCCTCAGCAGAGAGGAGTGTCAGGGACACAAGAAGCAGTCACTGGGTAGTTTTCCTTGGTTGAAAAAGAAGCCAAATGTGTCTGCTTGGGTGACCACAGATGCCCCACACCCAGACAGCTGAGGAAGGAGGGTAGTGCATTGTTTCAGCCCCAGCAGCAGGCCAGCACCCCTACAGACCAGTCTTGCAGAAAATAAGGCCCCTCTTTTTGCTTGCTGCTGCTGCTGCTGCCATCACTTTGCTAGGAGGGTTAGTGACTGTCCATTAATTCTGAAGAACTGACTCTTGCCAGAGCTGCACCAACAGCTGGAAGCCAGAAAGTGCTGACATGGGGGGTGTTGATCCCCCACCCTTGCTGGGAACTCACAGGGTAAGTCAGGGAGGTCACTGCATGGCTTACTCAGCTCTACCCAAGTGCCAATTAGCTAGGGTTTTTCTGAACATCTACCAGGACTGCCACAGTTGAGGAAAATTATTGTCAGAGAAGCTCATTTTGTTTTTATATTAAAAATCTCTCCCTAGGGATGGATCTTTCCTGACTGTCCCCTCCTCCGTCTTAGGAGAGATATCCCAGCCAGGAAGCATCCCTGGGAGGAGATGATCAAGGACAGGGCCCTGGCCCTTGGCTACTCACAACTGTGATGATGGGGGAGTACTTTCCTGGCCTGTTGGCTGGGAGGCAAGAATCTCAGCGATTCTTACATTTCATCGCTTTCTCAGGGAAATAAGGAAGAGGTAAGGATTTTAAGAAAACACACAAGAAATAGAAATGATTTTTCTTGTTTCCTATTGCCTTCTTCCACTTCATTCATAAAATCCCATTCTTGACTGAAAGGACATTAACCTACTTTTCAAATCAGACTAATGAAGCAGGTATCCTGTGTTCAAGGAGAACTGGGAGATTTGTGGGCTCAGAGAGCCCCACAGAGCATCAGGACTTGGAATCTTAAAACTTACCTAGTCCAACTGTCTTCTTTTACAGATGCAGAAACTGCATCCCACAGAGGGTAAGGACCTGCCTGAGAGAGTTAGTGGCAAATTTGGGGCCAGAACAAAGGGCTCCTGACTTCCAGTCAAATGCTTTTATTCTGAGATATTTTAATACTTCATTCTCTTATTTTACACCCAATTACTGAGTCTTTACTATCTTCCAGGTGCTATGGGGGAGGGGAGGTGTGGAGAGAGGCAAAGAGATGAAAACAACACAATCCTTGCCTTCAAGGAGCTGTTTCCCTAGATCTGTGATTCTTGGGGAAAAAAAATAAAAACTGTGAGTCAGATGTCACCTATATTGTTTTCTATAAGTGATGAAGGAAGGGGAGATAGGAGGAGGGAACTCTTTTGGATCTTCAAGATTTGAAAGTTGTGCTTCCCTGATTCTGGGACCCTAAGGAGGCCAAGGACAAAGGGAAATATGCTTGGGCTGGGAGAAAAGTAGGTAAGAGTGACAGTGATTAGGTCGCTGCCAGCAGGCCTGACTGGTGGATGGGAACAGTGACAGCATCTCACTGGGATGGCGACACACAGTTGACAAGCCTTCAATCAGGTGCACTGTTTCATTAAGTCTCAAGGCAGTTTCCTGAAGTGAGGAGAGTAGCTAGTCCCTCCCCACTGTAGGGATGAGGAAATCGAGGTTCAGAGAGCTCAGATAAGTGGCGTGAAGCTAGTAAATGCCAGTGCCCAGCCAGGAACTCCTAGCCTAGGCTCCTCTACTCCTGGGGTGAGGAAATTGTAGTGGGTTGAGAGGATGGAGATAAAGCAGTAGTCAGCTACAGTGTTAAGCCAGGCTTTCTCGCTGCAGTTTTATTTTGATCGCTACATTCATCCACTCAGAGAACTCTGCTCCAAAGAACTGGAAGCACTTTGCAGGCCTGAATGAGCTCATTCAGCACACTCCTGCCAGAAAGAGGCTCTGTCTAGGGCCACCAGCAGCCTGGCATGTAATAGAAAGTAGAGCGCAGGTTCCCCTCCCCTCATGCCCTCATGCACCAACTAGTGTGAGGTAAAATCAGTCTCTTTCCCTGAGAAGCAAGAAGGCCACAAGAAAAATTGAGGTATCTTCTGGTATCTCTTTCCTTCTCTGGAGAACTCAGCTAATAGGTCTTGAAGGGCCTGGCTCATCCCTCGGCCCAAGGGCCATCCATGACCAAGGCAAAGAAATCTCAGGGCAAAGGCCACCACAGCCATTCCCGTCACCTTCACGAGCACACTTGGGGGAGGAGAGATGGGCTTAGTGAAGCTGGCTCAGATTTCCCTCGTGCTGCAGGGACTGGGGTAGCAAGGTTTACAGGAGGCTCCCAACAGCATTCTTTGCAACCAGTGGGCAGGTGATCTTAGAGTTGCCTGAGGTCAGGGTCAGGGCCTGGTGGTGCAGGGTCCCTTCCAGCACCCCCAGCCTGCAGGGTGAGGGTTAGGGATGGACTTGGCGCTAGCGATGGCAGCCAGCAGGGAGTCTGAGCCCCCGTCCCTAGGAGAGCTCCCATCGCCCTGCCCAGCTCGGTCTCCGGCTCGCGCGGTTCCCCGGACGGCCCCTTACCTGTCCCGCCGAGGATGGTCCCGCCTCCTCCGCGGGGCTTGGGGGCTCGGCATGGGCCGGTGAGCGGTGGCGCCCCCGCCTCGCCGCCGCGGCGGAGCTCCCGAGAGGGAGCGCGTGCGCCCGGCGCCGGGTCCCGCGGCCGCCGCTTCAGCACCGCGGACAGCTCCCCGCCGCCCCGCGCCGCCGCCCGCCCCGCCCGGCGCGGTCCCGGGAGCCCCGCATGCCGGCCCGGCCCCGCCGCCACCGCGCAGCCCGCGGCCCGGCCACGGCGGCTCCGCGCCGACTTGGGGGAGCAGCGAGGAGCGTCCCCTCCTCCCTGCCTCCCGCCGCCACCTCCTGTCGCCTCCGTGCTCCGCTCCACGCTCCGGAATCAGCCCACCAGGCGCTCCGGACCGGCTCCCGGGCGGGGCGGGGCGGGGCGGGGCGGGGAGTCGGGGGTCCCCGAGGAGGCGGCGGAGCGGGGCGCGCAGCTGGAACCAGCTTCTCGGGTTCCTGGAGCCGGGTCCCTCTAGTCTGCTCCCTACTCCCGCGCGCCTGCAGCAGCGATGGGCGGCCCTCGGGCTTTTAACAGCATCGTGGAAACCCCTGGGCTCTTGAGCCCTGAGTTTGAATAATGATCTGCCCTACAGAGAAAATCGAGCCAACCAAAAGCATTCATTGGACGCCTAGTATACAGCAGACAGCATAGCAGGTTTTATGTTTTTAACCAATATAATCTCGCTTTATTTTCTTAACTCGATGAGGCAATATCATTTTTTTCACTCACCATAGGAAGAATTAGGGCTCACAGAGATTAAATCTCTTGATTTGGAGATAACAGAGCCTTGCGAAGTGCACAAGCTTTAAAGAGCATGGGCTAAGTTTTGTTTCTATTGTCTCACTTGATTAACTGTTTAACCTTGGGCAAGTTACTTCACCTCTTAAAGCCTTAGGTTTCTCATCAAGAAAGTGGGGGAGCTGTATCCACCTCAAAGGGGCACATGAGGACAAAGTGAGATGACATATGTGACACATTGGCCTCAAATAAGCCCTTCAGTGGGTGAGCACTCTCCTCAGCTGGCAGAGACCAGGGCTTCCTTCCTCTCCCCTTTGGTTCTGCTCTTTACCTGACTCCTCATTTCAGTTTCCTTTTTTTTTTTTCTTAAAGCACAGGATACCTTCATCTTGAATGCTATGCATGGATGAGGTTATTTTTCAGCTCCATCACAATGTCTTGAGTCTAACTATGGTTAGACTATGGTTATGTTATAGAGCAACCCTGATATTAAATGGGTTCCTGGCTGTGGGTCCTCACCCGCGCGCTTTAAAGGGACTTATGAATACTCTACTACAGACACACACAAAAGGTTAATAAAAGGTTTATTTACAAGGGAAAAGGAAATAAGGAAAATGTACAACTCAGGGAGAAAATAGGGAAATAAAGTCTTTAATGCGTCCTACCCGATCCGACGACCTGGAAACCCAAAGTCACTCTCAGAACTGGCTGGACGCTGCGAGCTGGCGGAGAGCCAAAATGGGGGACCCCAAAGCCCACGTATCTGCCTTTTATATCCACCTGGCTGCTTAACCCCACCCTCAGGTCCCAGCCACCTTCCTTTGGTGGGGATAGGATTTGGAGTTCCCAGTGTCTTTGGCTTTGTCCTGGGGGGGGGTGGGTGGAGTCCACAAAGCCTGTATGGAATTAGCTCTGGGACATCCTTTTCCCCCTAACAGTTAGACTCATAGTACCAGGAGCTTAGGAGGGGAGAGCATTCTCATTTCCTGAAGTTAAATAGGGGCTTGCAAAATAAATCCAGAACAGGAGGAAAGCTTGTTGGAAGGAGATACTGGAAAGCAGGTTCTGGCTATGAAAGTGCTCCCCTCCCCCCACCCAAGAATTCCATAGCACCCTGAATAGCAGATACAGGGTACCTGTAGCTCTGGGACCCCTTCACTCCACATGCATGGGGCATCTGGAGCAGTCCTGTTTAATTTCACCATATACCACAGCAGCAACCCCTTATGGTGTTTGGGTGCCCTCTTCACAGCTGGGCAGAGACTTCCCTGTCTTATTGTAACATGTTTAACCTGAAGGGTGTTAGCTATTTTTTGTTCTATGTGCTCCTGCCCTTTATTTTTTTAAAGATTAATTTTATTTATTTATGCATACAAGAGCTGGGGTACAGGCCAGAGGTGTGGCTGTGTGTGTGTGTGTGTGTGTGTGTGTTAGAGAGAGAGTATTCACCAGAGAGAGAGTGGGGAGCAGAACAGGTGGATTGACTGAAATACACTCCTGAGGGGAGCAGTGGGTGAGACAGGAGAAGTCTTCTATGCTACGTGGATTAGCTCCCTGGCCAGAGATTGAACTCGTGCTGCAGTGGCTGCAGATAGCTTCATAGTGCTGAGACTTAACCTCTTGTGTCACAAGGGAGACCCTGTGTTTCTGCAGTTTAGAGTGTAAGCCTGAGGCTAAGACCTCTGGACCACTCACCTGAGGCTCAGCATCTGCACAGAGAACCCCCCCGCCCTGCCGCCCCAACATACATGTGCATACACAAAACACACTATGTGCCTTCTTGCACCCTTGCTCCCCTCTGGCCTCCCTCTCATGGGGGTTCATGGCCTCCTACTTGGCCAAGGCCTCCTTCTGCTTTTCCCATCCCTACCCTGGCTTTGCTCCATGCCTGGACTGCATACCAAATTACTAATCAAAAGGATAATAAAAAGCCAGTGAAGCAAAAGCCGAATATAAATTCCAAATACTAATGTTGATAATTATATGCTGTTGCCTGGAGGGGGAAAGTCTGAGAGACTGTTGGTGTTGTGTCAAGGGCCCTGGCCTGGGCACCAAGGGACCTGGGTCTTTGTCATTCATTGACAGTGTGACTTTAGCAGTCACCTAATTTCCTTGGGCATTTGCTTCCTTTAGATCCTAAGCCTCTCAGCAGCTCTGAATGAACTACAGGGGCAACCAGCACATAGGAAATCTGTGACAGAGAATAGTGGGCTAATGCAGCTAGAAGACTTTCTTTTTCAAAAAAATTATTTTATTTATTTATGCATACAAGAGCTGGGGTGTAGGCCAGAGGCATGGGGGAGGGGTGAGAGGATTCACCAGAGAAAGAGCCGGGAACAAAACAGGCAGAGTTACTGAAATACACTGCTGAGGGGAGCAGCGGGCGAGGCAGGAGAGGTCTGTTGCACCATGTGGGTCAGCTCCCTGGCTGGGGCTCGAATTTGTGCTGCAGTCCTTGCCATATAGTCTCATAGAGCTGAGACTTAACCCCTTGCGCCATCAGGGAGGCCCCTGTAAGAGTTTCTTTTAGGAAATTACCTTTATCCCTGACAAGATATAGGGGGTGGTTCCAGAACTGAAGAATATATAACTATGAAGAGTTTTTATTCCCTTTTTAAAAAATCCCTCTTTCCTTTCTCCAGCAAGCATTTCCTGCTATGTAATGAAGGTTAACCTCTCTGTGAGACCCTGAGAATACAAAGTATAAGCCATCATCCAGATCCTTGAAAGACTTGCAAGAAAGACTGATGTGGTAGATTATGTTAAACAGAAAATCAAACACATTGAGATAAACAGGGTAAATAAAAAATGCACAGAGAAGGAAACAATGAACTCTGCCTGGGGAAATTCCAGGAGGTTTCCTGAAGGAGGTGACATTTGAGCTGAATTGTATTAAAAGATGAGATATTTACCAGACAGGCAAGAGAGGAGGAAACTCTGGGTAGAAAGGCTAAAATGAAGAGATGGGCCTGAAGGACTAGCTGCAGCAGAGTCCAGGAAAGATGGTGAGAACTTGAACCGGCATGGTCAGGAGTTAGGTGGTAACACCTCTGAAAGAGAACAGGGGAAAGATTGGTTGTGGGGGGCAGGGGAAGGTAATGTTGGGGACTCCTGTTTCCGGAAAGTTGATGCTACTTACAAGGGGGCATATCAGGAGGAGAGCAAATTCTGCTTTTGCACTGTCTGCATTCCCAGACAATGCATTGTCTGCATTCCCAGACAGTGTTACTGAGTGACATGACCCTCAGTTTCTAGGCTTTTATACCTGTTTCAATTTTATTCTCTCTTTAGTTCATAAAAAAATTTCTTAAGCCAAAGACCTTCCCATCTTACCTTGACTGCCTTAATGGAAAAGGATAAAGTCCAGTCTTGGGCCAGGAGAATTCAGTGGGGGCACAGCAGCTCCTGGAAGTCTTCCTGGAGAAGGCAACAGGAATCCTAGGTGGGACCAAAGCAAGGTCCATAATCAGGGGACAGAGTAAGCACTAGGTAAAAATCTGGGAGGAGATGCCTCTAAGGCCTATTCTGTTCCTACCACTCTTCCATTCCCCAAGCAGGATCCAGCACAGTAGGCTCTGGGTTTTTTTTGGAGTCAGTTCTGGTTGCTAATCTCTTTCCACCTGGGGACCTTCCTTCATAAGCTCTTTCATGCACAAACTCTTAGCTCTTTCTACAAAGGGTTGATTTGCTTACAGCATTCCCTAGGGAATGTAAATCAGCACCAAGTGTGGGGAGATCTGCTTCACTCACTACATCAATATGCCACACACTGGAAAAGATGCTCCCCAGAAGGAAGAGGGTGAGCCCTACCCCCAGCTCAGTGAATGCTGTACTCTGGAGTCAGACTCATGGTCAAGGCCATAATGCTGAGAGCAGCAAAACCCTGGGTGAAGGGGCGACGGTGGGGTTAGAACAGGACAGCGGAGGGCAGCGACAAGTGAGTGTTTCAGGTGTCTGTCTACCAGCCAAATCCTGCTTCCATGGACGTGGCTCCAGCAAGACATGGCTCTGCGCAGAGGTTCAAGTCTGGGTATAAGCAGATAGTGGGAACCAATTCTTGACTCTGGACCCAAGAGAGTACTGTGGAATGGCAGAAGCCCTAGCACAAGGTCCACAGCCTATCTTTTAAACTACTTTGGGGGGCTTTGAAAGTACATTACCACAGCTGCCCACGTCTTCTCTCCCTAGGAGATTGCAAATTGAAGATGAGGTAATTTCTTTAGCAACACACTGATTCATGCCAGGAAAAGGAGATGGGGAGAGTTCTCAGCACCAGGCCTGCCCAGCTCCCCACTCTCCCACCCGGCACAGGCTCACTCACCCCAAGAAGGAGAATGGGTGAGTTACTGCAGGGTTGAAAGGCAGAACCAGAGCATAAGGCGGAGGAGCACAGCAGCCACAGGCTGCACAGCTCGGAACCCCACCAGCATCAACTCTGGCACCCACAGATGCCTCGGGGCCATGTGAGCATTTGCCTGGTGTTAGAGGAACCTGGATTGTTGGCGCTTTCC